CAGGAGACCTACTAGCTCCCTCCCCCCCGCCACAACTTGGTAGACTAGCGGGTGGGAAGAAATGAAGGAAAAAGCCATCTGATTGATGGCCCGTGGTCATTTCCCTGCCACAGACACTCATGCGTCAGCACCCAGCCGGAGAAGGATGGAGCGCAACTTCCCTAAATCCCTACACTCTTTTGCAAACCACTGGCAACGACAGCAGGGCCAAGAAGAACATGAGAATGCCACGCTCCCTCCGGGATCACCTCCCAACCCGAAATGGGAGGGGGCTCTAGAAGTTCCTGCAATATTGCAAGGGTCAGTCACCCATTCTCGGTGGGAATAAACAGGCAAGCAACTCCGGTGGCCTCAGCAGCCCAAAATAAGAACCACAACCATAAAATACAACCATAAACCATGTACAGAGCAAGCAAAGTACTCCGTACAACCCCCCCAAGTACTCCACACAGGGTATTTGGTGTAGTGGTTAGGAGTGCGGACTCTAATCTGGGAGAACCGGGTTTGATCCCCCACTCCTCCACATGCAGCTGGTGGTGTGACCTTGGGTCAGTCACAAGTTCTCTCAGAGCTGTTCTCTCAGGAGCAGTTCTTGAGAGAGCTCTCTCAGCCCCACCTACCTCACCGGGTGTCTGTTGTGGGGAGGGGAAGGGAAAGGAGATTGTAAACCGCTCTGAGACTCCTTCGGGTCGTGAAGGGTGGGGTATAAATCCAATCTCTTGCTTCTTCTTCTGTTTCTAGGCCACTTCTTGAAAACAGATCTCGAGGCTGGCCTGAAGGGGTTGTGTCCCGCCCCATACCCTCCTCTCAACCCTCACCTGTTAGCAGGTGTGGAGAAGACCGCCAGGACCACGGGCCGGCCGTCGAGTTGGAAGACGTCTGTGACCGACTGGATGACGTTGAAATAGAAATGCGAGTCTCCCGGAACCGAGCAGTTGAGCCGTGCCTTCAGGAAGGAAGTCCACTGTTTCTCCAGCACCCGCTGGGAGCCACCCATGTCGTTCTTACACACCCGTGCCACTCGGGAAACCACCACCTACGTGGGGGAAAAGAGGAGGGACAGGGGGAAGTCAACGCCTGTAACCCACAGCCCCGGACCCAAACACCGGTTCTCTACACTTTGTACAGACTTTGCAACACGGGTTCCTCTCCTTGATTTCGTCCATGAGTCATCAACGCAAAACTAAGTTAATGTTAGTCTGCATCTTGGTAATGGACTCGCATATGGATAAAGTGTACCTTCCTTTTTTAAAAAAAATATTACCCTGGCCGAAGCCAGGACATTTTATTATTTTCAGAAAGAGAGAACGTCACTGCAGAAAAAGAAAACAACAACAATACCAACAATCACATAACAACAAGACAATAACAAACAACACCTACTACAATAGCGGAGCTCGTACTTAACCTCTGGTTAACACAAGTAATACCTTTGAATCTTATCTGATTTTAAGCACCTATATCTAATTGTATACTCTATTTTTTAAATTAATTTTTTCAACATATGCAACAATAAAACACAACAATCTTAACAAGAGATTTTTTCAAAATAAAGTTTTGATATACAATTGAATTATTATAAGAATATAGAAATCGCTCAAAATTAACAATAATAATAACTAGCAATAACGACAATTTGTTTAATACGGAATTATATCAATATATTTTTCAGGGAGGCTACAACTCTTGTTTTCTGAATTATTAACAAAATCAAAAAAGGGAAACCAATTTTCCAAGAATATGTTCTTCTTTGATAATACTTCAGCCATCCAAATTTGCGATGCTAATTTATCCATAACTGTTATATCCCATACCTTAATAAACCATTGACGGATCGTAGGAGCTTTGTTTGTGCAATCAAAGTTTTTGCAGCGCTTAATAAAAGTGCAGCTAACTCCATTTTTAATTTAGTTAGCTGTAAAGAAGGCCAAAAATGTGAAAGAATAGACTCCGGGGTTTTAGGAAGATCACAATTAAGAATTCTATTGATCAGATCTATAACTTTGGACCAAAATTTTGCAATGATGGGACAATCCCACCTACAGTGTTTAAATGAACCTTTCTCTCTGCATCCCTTCCAACAAAAAGGGGGCGAGGAGGTATAAATGTGAGAACGTTTTTGGGGTGTCATATACCAACGAGTATATAATTTGTAATGTTGTAGTTTGACATTTAATAAAGATATAGTAAAAAGACTAGATGACCATATAGATTGCCATTGCGTTAAGTTCCAATTTGTTCCGCAGTCTTTATGCCAAGATTGGTGTATTGTCAGAAGTTTTTCCCATAAAGATTTACAAAGTGATTGATGTAAAACTGAAATTAGACCTCAAAATTTCGAATTGAGTCAAAGGTCTATCCAGTGACTTTGTTGCATTTATTTTATGCATTAAGTGAGAAATTTGCATATATTGCATCCAGGGTATTTCAAATTTGCCCTTGAGTTCCAGTTGAGATTTAGAGATAATTTTTTTGTTTTTATACAGGTCATCCAATCTAAGAAGGCCATTTTCCCCCATAATAACAAAGAAGATGAATCCATTGCTGGCCTAATCCAGGGCTGTCCTAAAAAAACTGTTATTGGAGAGGTCTCTGGAGCTAAAATATGGCAATATTTAGTCCATAGATGTAGAGTAAATTTAAGATATGGGTTGGTTATTTTTTCCTGCAAAATTTCTTTATTATTATGCCAAATGATTTCATAGAGTTTTCCTTTAACTAATTGAGATTGTTCAATTAATACCCATGTTTTAACAGGACAAGGATGAGCATACCCCCCCCCAAGCACCAAGAAGACAGAGCATCACTTGCCCCAGAGTCCCTATCTATACCTTGTGGCTAATAGCCACTGATGGACCTCTGTTCCATATAAGAACATAAGGGAAGCCAATGTTGGATCAGGCCAATGGCCCATCCAGTCCAACACTCTGTCGCACAGTGGCCAGAAATACCAGGTGCCATCAGGAGGTCCAGCAGTGGAGCCAAGACACTAGGAGCCCTCCCACTGTTGCCCCCCCCCCAAGCACCAAGAATACAGAGTATCCCTGGCCCCAGACTGAGAGTTCCTATCTATGCCTTGTAGCTAATAGCCCCTGATGGACCTCTGGTTTCTGGGAGTCTAGGTAAACAACATCTCCTGGGTCACTCTTGTCCACATGTTCGTCCACCCCCTCAAAAAACTCTAAAAGGTTAGCGAGACAACATCTTCCCTTACAGAATCCATGCTGATTCGCCTTCCAGACTCGGCGGATGTCCCTTGCCCTCAGCTTAGCTGAGCCAGGAAAGAAATACCACACAAAGAACCATTTCTCTTCTAGTGTAGTGGTACCCTTCACTGGGCCTGCAGACTAAAACGGTCAGTCTCGACCCTCCAAACAGTTCAGCATTCACAGCCTGGCCCAGGCCGTCTTATGCATTGTCCAGCTTACCTTTTCGAGGTAGTTAAACTCTATGGCAATCTCCCTGAAGAAGAAATAGACGTGGCTCTTCCATTCTACAGCATGGACAAAATATGGCTCTGTACAGAAGCAGGGTGAGGGAGGAAGCAGAAAGGGTCAGCAAAGCTTATGCTCCTTTTTAACATTTTCTATATCTTCCCGACACTGTACTCTTGGAAGGGTTTCTGCACCACCCCCAATTCTGACAGTCATCCAAATCAGACCATTTTTTGAAGTTCCTAATAAGCTGGAACATTAAAAAAAAATAGGCTTCTACCACATGGAACTGTATCGATCCTCACACTTCCACATGCAGCCGGCTGGGTGACCTCGGGCCAGCCACCGTTCTCTCAGAGCTGTTCTCTCAAGAGCTGTTCTCTCAGAGCTCTCCCGGCCCCACCGAACTCACGGGGTTGTCTGTTGTGGGGAGGGGAAGGGAAGGTGATTGTAAGCCGCTTCAAGACTCCTTCAGGTAGTGGAAAGCGGGGAATAAAAACCAACTCTTCTTCTTCTTAAGTGGCTTTCTACTGAATCAGACCACTGGCCCACGAAGGTCAGT